TTCTTCTTCTTCTTCTTCTTCCTTTTTCTTCTTTTTCTTTTTAAATTAATTAATTTTATTGGTCTCCACTGTCCTCTTTGACAAAAACAAAACTGCCTGGTAAAGGTTAGAGCCATTTAAACTGACATTTTACCTGGTTCTTTGACATCTTCTTTCATCTTGGATTCCTGAAACCCAGACAGTAATGTAACATTAATATGCTGCTAATAATCTCTTAACATTAAGAAAATAAACTTGGATATATATGGTACATAGAAACCAAAATGAAAAGCTCCAGTAGTGGGACTCTTACATGAATTAGGTCCACATGTCATCGCATAGCCACTTGCTAGTCACAATAATCATTAGTGAAAATGAGACACAAATGAAAGAAATCCCAAATTTACACCAAGCAGTAATTTATTTTTGTGTTTTAAGACAGGATCTCCCTAAGTAATCTAGGCTGGCCTGGAAATTACAATCTTCCCATCTCAACCCCTCAAATGCTGGGGTTACAACCCTGTACCACTGCATCTAGCTCTGCACCACGTGTCCAAGGTACAGGGAAAGACCTAAATCAGAAAAAGAGCTTTAGCTCATGGTATTTTCCCCATTTAACATTTATTGTTTACTATACAAGCAAAATGGTTCCATGTCTTCAAAGTAGTCATTTCAATTAATCCTCAATAATCTGCCAATCTCCTTTACAATTAAGAAAACATTACCTGCAGTATGAATCACTGTCCCCTCAAGATAATGTAAAGAGAAAAAGAAAACAGCAAGTTCCACATTATAAAAATTCCAAGGCCAATAGGCACCAAATTTTGTATCCCAAATGAGGAACGGCAAAACTCTCAGCACTTTCAACGATGGGAACAGCCCACGATGGTACACATACCACAGGTTCACCACCACTGTCCTAAGCCAAAATTACTGTAACTCTTGCATCTTGCTTTCCCAAGTGTCTAAAATCAAACAAAAATGCCTCGTTCTTCATTATTCTGTGCTGCTCCATCCCTGTCCTTGCTCCCTCCCATACATAACCCACTTTGCTAGCTGCACTTTGATGCGTGCCTCTCATCCTACTTTATCTCCTTCGCTGAGATTCCCACCTTGAAGAACAGCTGGATCCCCGCATGCCCTCAAGTTCACTTACATTTCTTGAAATTTTCTTCTTAGAGACTGGGACTTCATCTGGAGTGGTGGGCAGCTTGATAGTTAACTGGAATGTTCCTTTTCCTGGCAAGATTAACTCGTGATTTGTTTTTTGCAGGACTTTCTGCTGAACTGAAATGTCAAAAAAAAAAAAAAAAAAAAAAAAAAGGAAGAAGAAGCAGCAGCTAAGTGACAAGTAGCCTTCATCTATACAAGTATTCCATGATTTCCATGGGCTTCCTCGGCCTAGGTCAATGGCTCAGCTATTCTTTTAAGAGACACTATATATAATAAAAAGAGGGAAACCTCAGTGACAGATGTGGATTGTAGTTTATCTTCCAACATATTTTTAAATAAGTCATGCCTGAGTTTGGACACAGAGTGACCCCCAAGGGCCCAGCACTGAAATGTTAGCTACCAGTCTATGAGCCAATGGGAAGTGGTGGGACCTTCAAGAGGCAGAGCCTGGAGGGAGAAGGCAGGTCACAGGTGCCAGCCCTTAAAGGGGAAAGGAGACCTTCCTTCTTCCCTTTTCCCCTTCCCATCCTGAGATGAGAGCTTCTTCTTTCAACAACTGCCACCAGGATGTACAGCCTTGCCATGGACCCAGAAGGAATAGGCCAGTGATCCAAAGCTGACCCCTCCAAAACTGTTGAGCCAAGTTATTTCCTTTCTAAAAATTGCTTATCTCAGGTATTTTGTCACAGAAATGGGAAGCTGACACACAAACACAGTTAAGCCTTGCTACAAACTCTCAGTCTTCTCATCTCTTAATGAGGTTAGTAAAGATTGTTTTGTACCAGTTCAGAAGAAATTGAAAAATTATAAAGAATTTAGTGCAGTACCTATCACACAGGCAATCAAAAAGTTGTGATACTCATTCTACACTGACATGAAATAATTAAGGCAACTCTCCTGAGAGCCAGGCAGACTGGGTGCTGGGACATGACATAATTTCAGAAGGGATTCGGGTGGCCATGAGTAAAATGACCAGGAGCCTAGGTCGAAAGCTATTTTAGCTCATTTGTTAGTCTCTAATAATAAAGGCCTGCCATGTGATAACAAAGGAGGTAGAAAAGAAAGGAAGAGTGAGATTTGAAGGATATAAATAAAAATAAAAATAATTAGCACATGAAGAAATGAGTACCAGTGAACAAACTGAACAGTGGACAAAAGAAGTTCAGAGACCTGAATCCGACCTTTAACTCTGCCACAAACTAGCAAAGAGACTGTAAGGAAGTGCTTTAACTTCTCTGGACTGTTTCCACCCTCAAAAGGGAGAAAATCTGTGAATACTTTCTGCAGTACCATCAAGAATAATTGGGCGGGCGAGATAGCTCAGCAGACTAAGCACCTGCTTAGGTGAGCGCAGGAACTGGGGTTTGATCTTCCACCCCACATGCCAAGCCACGTCCCAACCCCCCGTGGTGCTCTGAGCCAACCACCAAGTCTGGGTGTGGTGGTGCAGGTCTACAATTCCAGTGCTGAGAAGGCTAAAAACAAGAGGATCACTTTGAGTCTGAGCTGCATAGTGAGACCCTATACCAAATACATTAAAAAAAAAAGAATACAAACATGAGTGGAAAGTTATTCAAAAGAGCAGCCAGAGAGAGCAAAGGGAAATCAACGTCACTCAGACTATGGAGAAAAGGAAAGGAGTTAAGGGAGGAGGCACTCTCAGCATGGTCGGTGTAAAGAAGTCAAGGAGAAAGTGACATTTGCCAGTGCCCTGGTGTTCCTGGTCCTGGCTGCAGCTGTGGGACAAGCACTGACAACAATGCTGTGCTCTCGTGTAGCTGGCCTGATGATGTCAGACTCTCTCATCAAGAGGGGTCACCCGATCCCTTTGGTCCAGTCTGAACTTCACTCGGATACCACTCAAAAGGCCTCAGAGACAGTCTGGGAAGGGCCTCCAGAATCTAATCTTCCCTTTATAGTCGTGGACTCCTAAAGATCTGTGCTGAGCTGACTGAGGCCCAAGGACTAGCGGACTAGTGGGGAACCCTGAAGCCCATGGACACACTGTTCTGTAAGCCATATGATCTGCTCACATGCATCTTTGGATTTTTTTTTTTTAGTAATTTATTTTATCATTTAAAAAAAAATTTTAACCCTTTTGAGGGTAGTACCAGGGATTGAACTCAGAACCCTGAGATTGCCAGGCAGGCACTTATTCTACTGAGCTATCTCCCTGGCCCACATCTTTGGATTACATTCATTTTATTATTGCCCAGACTTCATGTTGCAGTTCAAATCCAAAATATCCCCTGAATTCTTGTGTTTGGAAGGTAACTGGATCATAAGGACATTATATTCACTGATTTATTAATAAGGAATAATAAATTAATAATAATAATAATTCTGATGAATCCACAGCTAAATGTGAGGTGGGGCAGCTCTTCTCCCTCTGCTTCCTGAACGCCCTAGGGTGAGCCCTTCCCCTCCACAGGGCCCCACTGTGTTCCTGTTGGGGTGAGCTGATCATTGTCTGAAAGCATGAGCCATAATAAATCTCTCCTCCTTTCCACTGGAATTTGGGTATTGTGTCCACCGACAGAAAAGTGGCTAAGACACATTGACAGAGTCCTCTCTCAGCCTCTGAATGTGCCAGTGCTTTCTCTAGCTGCACACAGTGTGTACAGACACAAACATTTCAGGAGAGAAAAGGCAGTAATGTCTGAGTGATCCCCACCCAACAGGGAGAAGGTGAATCTGGGACGGAAAAGAGCAGGACTCTGCCTTCCCTTGCCCACACTGGAAGCTTGCCCCCTGCATCAACCTCAGATCATCTATATATAAGTTTATTTAAGTAGATGGGTTTCCTTACCCAAGGTGTAGGAGCCAAACTGTGACCAGAAAGTATAACAAAATGTGCACATCCTAAATGTGGTTTAAAATGTTAGGTCAGAGGCTGATGGTATATATAGCTCGGTGTGAGAGCACTTGCCTAACATGGGTGAGGCCCTGATTCCATCCTCAGCCCAGAAAAAAAGAAAAGGAGGAAGAGGAGGAGAAAGAAAAGGAAGACTTGGGGGAATAATCATTTTTCAGAAATCCAGGTAACTCTATAAAAGCCAAATATCACTTCCTATTCCTTCTTATTTGCTAGGTGCGCTCTACGCAGGAGCGCTGGTAGACTCATTTCTACTCTTTGGCTGCTGGAGGTTTGGATGAATTGAAGTCATGTTATGCTGTGCGCCTGCACCTGCTGAGGCCATTTCCTGGCATGGAGGGTGGAGGGTGGAGGGTGGGGGTGGAGGGCAAGAGTGCTTGGAGGACAGCCAGCACTGGCTGCTCACTATCAGCAAACTCTTGATGAGGACATAGTTGAACAGTGGTTCCCAAGAAGGAAACTGAAACTGAAAAGGTACTTTCCACCCCCTAAGAACTTTGACTATAAACAGTGTCCATAGGTTTTCAGTTACTTGAGCTGAGAAATAAGGGAAAAGTGACCACTGGGCCAGGCTGAGGCAGAGGAGGAGGGGTAGGGGCCTGCAGCTGTGAGAAAGTCTCACAAGGTGGCTGCTTATACTCTTACGCTGTGACATTTTACATAATTATTTCCATTTTTGTTCATTTGGTACTATCAGCAGACAACAAGATTCTCCAAGTTCAGGCGCTGGGGTCACCTGAAAGGCTGGTTTCCACCCGCTCACATTCACAGAAAGACTCTCTCCAACACAGCTGCCCAGGTCAGGGAGTTCAGGGACAGGTGGTCTAGGCCCACAGTCTGAGCATCAGAGGCTGGTGGGAGCCCAAGAGAGAAATCCCCAGGGCAGGTAGGACCCTGAGGTTGACAGCTGGAATTGAATCGGGCAGGTGGCCAACTGGGCCACAGTTTAGTGATTCAGCCAGCTTTTTTTTCTGAAAGCTTCCTGATGAAGGCAGTCCTTGGAAGACACTGTCCTTGGTTTTCCATAAATAAAGAGTCCCCAGGGCTCTTCCATTTTCACTCTCTTCAGACCTATCGGAATGTCCTCTTTCTGCCCATTTCCCCCGGCTGGATCCCTGCAAGGCTATTCTGCCCTGCCTCTCCTCTGGCCCAAAAGCTTCTCTTGGTCCAAAAGCTTCTAGACGCACTGAGAAACGGATGGGACTCCTCTGCATCCTGAGGGACCAGGCCCTTTGGGAGCCCAGAAGGCTCAATCTGAGTGCCCCAGTCTCCCTTCCCGAGTAGGAACAGAACAGGGAAAGTAGCGAGAACTTAGCTATTCAAACTCGGGACAGGAGAGTCTCCCACCCACCATCACCTCAGAGGACTATCCGCTGCCACTCTATGGGCCACCCTGAGCCGAGGAGGAGGCAACAGTAGGCTCTGCCTGTCGTTATCTGCAGCACAGGGCCTTCCCTCCCTGCGCAGGCCACGGCGAGGACCCTACTTACTCCCGCACCAGTTGACGTTGAACAGCACCACAGCTCCCCAAGTGACCTCAGACGGTCAAGAAGCCTTGGGAATCTCTGGGAATCGTGAGGAATTATTAGGAGTCCTCAGTTTTCTTAGTGCCCCCCCCCCAACAACAACAACAGCAACGGGGGGGGGTGAGGATTTAGAAAGAGGGGGAGACCCGCACCTCCAGCCCCGCGGGACCGCGCCTGAGCGCAGCGCACAGAGGAACCGCTACCACAGGGTGCGCTCGAGTCCTCCTGGCCCCCCACCTCTGGACCGCTACCACGGGCGCGGCCGCCGGCGGATCCTGCATCCGCCGGCCCGGACCCGAATCTCCTCTGAAGAAAGAGCCGTCGCCCCTTCCTCGCCCTCCCCGTGCGCCCCTCACCGTCCTCGGAGAAGAACACTATGAAGCGCGCCGGGCTTGTGGGGTCTCTGCGGACCTCACACTCGCTCCCGACTCCGGATCGCTTGGCGCTCTGGAAGTACAGCTGCAGCTTGGTGCCCAGGTTCTTGGGAGGGTCAGGGCCCCAGGACCCCTCAACCAGCAGCGAGAAGTTGCGGGACGCAGCCATCCTGGGCTCCGCCGTCCCCGACTGCGAGGCCGCGGCTCCTGCGGGAAGTTAACCCTACCCCTTTCACTTTCGTTTCCTAGAAAAGCAGTCACAGCGGGAGTTTCTGCCTTCCTCTGGGCCGCCCCCAGACCGAAGACCATCCCCAGTCCACACCCTCTGCTCCGTCGCAGCAAGGACAGAGAACGCCTGGGGATGGCTCAGGCCGCTCCGACCTCGGGTCCCTGCCACTTGCGCCCCGCGCGGTCCCCAGACGTCGGCCCCGGGTCACCGGACGGTGGTCGGTGGACGGAGAATTGTTCCTGTTTAAAAGGCTACAGGCCGACTTTTTACAAGGGAATAAGGTGGCCAGCAAACTGGGGTCCTCTTAGGAAGTTCATTTCGAAGCTACTTTTTTAAAAATTTTATTTATTTATTTATTTATTTGGAGTTAAACTCAGGCCCTTGCGCTTGCCAGGGAAGCGCTTATTCTACTGAGCCGTCTTCCCGGCCCCTGAAGCTACTTTCAATCACCAGTAGTTGGTACCTTAGCACAATCATACCTTGCTGTCTTCCCTTTTGAGTTCTGTTTCCAGATCTGTCAATATTAGGTGTCTAGAAATGGGATAAACGACACACTCCCAGATATTGTGGCATGTTTAGGAGGAGCCGTGTGGAAGGACACAGTCCCTGCCTCCACTGAGCACAGCAGCTGTGGGGGGCACAGGAGGGGACTCTAGAAAGGCATTCTGGGATAAATGTGCTGCAGGTGGCTATAGCAGAGCGACAGCGCTCAGATGGTCAAGGCAGGGCTTGCTGAGCTGGAGAGAAGGAAAAGCCAGAAGACGACTCCGTGGTCTTCAGTGGGTGGCTCGAGTAAGTGGGTAAAAGGCGGTATCATCCTCGATGGGCAGCCCCGGGTGGCCAGACAGGTGAATGAGAAGCTGAGACTGTAGCCCCACCCATGATAAAAGTGTTTCCGGTCAGAGGGAGGTGCAAGTGCTGGAATGTTACCAACAACAGCAGCGTCCATCATCCTCTGCGTCCCAAGCAGCCTGGTCTCCCAAGACGGATGGGAAGAGGAAGGAAGGAAGCGGAGGCAAGCTCTCCCCAGAGCGTGAACGTGAAGAGGAAGGAGGTGGGCGGTAGCTAGTTGGCTATAGGATCTAGACGTGTTATTTTTGGCTTTGCTGACCCTAATTTTTTTTTTCTCCCAGTGCCTTCAGGGCAGGTTTGTCTGGCTTGGCTTGTGGGGATCGAACCACAACAACCTGAGCCTGACTGCTTTGTTGAAGCAGCCACTTAAAAATCTGAGCTAAGGGGCAGGGCACCGACCCTAAATATTTTTAAGCTAGGAAAGTCTTAAGCATGTGTATAAGCTGGTAGGAAGAGTGAAGATCAAACACTGATAGGAGATGGTGGAAAGGCTTCCTGGTGGCACTGGGAACCAGACACTTTCCCTGGGCACCGGCAGCCGCTCCTTCTCAGTGCCCACTGACCAGAGAGAGTCCATGTCTCTGGGTCAGGGGTCCCGTCCTCTAGGACCCGCCAACATCAGAGCTGCACTCTGCAGAGAAGCACATTGCACAGCGTCTCTTGATCAAGATGAAACTGAACGTCAGGATGAAGAGAACCAGAGCTGGGCCAAAGAGTTTCCTGGGGCTTTTGTTTCTGATCTATGAGGTGTGATTGAATGTTCAAATTTTTTTTAATGTATTACAGTAAGATATGTGTGGCCTTAGGCAAACGTAGGCAAGTGCAGGGACTGTGGTTGTATCCCACACCAGCCCCACCGGGCTGAACCAGCCACCAAAAAAAAAAAAAAAAAAAAAAAAAAGTGCGTGGCCATTAATTTCCCTTAAAATATTCCCCTGTGCTTCAAACTATTAAGCCATCATTCTTGCCATTTTTGGAAGCAGTTCTGAAAGTCCACTTCTGTGAGTGTCTTCTGTTGTACTGTGCTGGCTCCCTCGGTGTCCTGAATTCATGTGAAATTTTTCATGGTCATTATGACCTGAGGGAGAGCCAGAGGTCACACGGTTCCATATCTGATAAAGAACATGGATGATGACACGGCCTCATGTTTCTCAGAGCCTGGATGACACCTACAGCAGCGTACACTATTTTTTAGCATGCCTGGTAAAGTCACCCACGAAAGAGAACTTCACGAACTGAGTCAGAAAGCAGAAAGCGCAATGGGGTGTGGTTAAAGTGAGAGGGAGTATTCTGGGGGGACTTAATGAAACTGTCCTTTACTGTAATTATTTCTATGTACCTGCTGTAGCTTCTGATCACACCGCGTGTAATAGTGCCCAACTGCATCCTACTGTCTTCGGCTTTCTACCTCCAGGGGGAGCTATTCATCTGATCCCCAAACTTTTGGTCCTGGACCCCAGCAGGAGCAAGTGAAGGGGACACAGCAAGGGAGGTCTGATCCCGGCCAAACAGTGTGGACTTTCCTATGGTGTCCTCTCTGTCTCACCTCAAAACACAACAAAACTCAGCAGCCCCTTCACCCAAGTTTAGGGCCCAGATACTGGGCAAGTAGTTCATCCTCCTCACATCTGCATGTTGTAGGAATGAGGTTTCAGCTGGCCATTTGGGATTGCTGTTTAAGATTTATGTATTAGCAGCGAGCCTCGCCACTGGGGCTCCGCTTATCTTTCTGGGTGGACCGGTAAGGAGCCATTAGAGGAACAGGATGGTGGGTCTTGAAAGCCATAATGGTAGGCAGGTTGTTAAATATTAGGGCCTCATGTTAAACATGATGGACAAGGGAGGGGTCCAAAATAGCAAAATAGCTTTACCAACTACAGAAACAAAAACTTTAATACATCATACACTTACAGGCATGCATTAGGTCTCAGACCCAAAGTAATCCCACAGAACACAGGGCCTTAAGGACCTGTTAAGGTTATACATTGTCCACAGCCTGGCTGTCTATCTCCACAAAAAGGTACACTACATTCCCTAGTGTCATGGCCCATACCCAATGATATCAGAAAGGGGAGCATTCTTTAAAGACCCTCCCACCTGCGGCTGAGAACTGACTTAGATTCTTTCATGATTAAGACCTCTGAGGAAACCCTGACCATGTTGATGGATTAATGAAGACACTTTTGAGATAGTGACATTCCAAAGTAACACTGAATAAGCATCACAGCCATCACAGTTCCTTGAACCCCAGACCAAAAAGGTATCAAAATTCTTACTTGGTGAATCCCTTTGTGGGACTATGTGCCTTCTCTCTTGAAGGTATAACTATATATATGCTTAACAATAAATTCTGCCTATGCTGCCACATGGCTGCCTATGTGTATTGACTGAATTCTTTCAAGGGCAGGAAGAACTGAGGACCAAGGAAGTGAGGGGCCTGTTTCTACATCAGGATCCAGCTTCCTGGGGACAATGGAAAGAAGATTCTAGAAGGAACAAACTGTTGAGCATCACTGACTCCTGCAGAACTTTTTCTTCCAAGTTATTTTCCTTCTACTCAAACCCTTCTTCCTCACACAGTGTGCTTATCCTCTCAATTCTTTGTCTCCCATGGGTCTCTGCTTCCTGAAACCTCCTTCCTCCCCAGGAAGAAAGTGTCACTTGAGGTCCTAGGAGCAGGGGCAGGGGTAGAGGGGTCAGCCTTCCAATGCAGAATTGCTTATGCTCATGGTGCTTGTCCTTGGTTTTTCCTACCTCACAGTCATAGTAGTGTCCGTATAGCAGTCCATGTGTGTGTTTGGGATTGGACTTCCACCTGCTGACTTCATCTAGGTTCCATCTTTAAGCTTAGCTACAGACTTCTATAGCCTAGCACCGAGCTCCTTTGAACTTGCCTAGAACTGGCACCAGGCCCTCCCTTTCTCCAGGAGTAATGTGGGTTTCACGATACTATGGTTAACTGAGTGGTGGAAGTTAACCATTGAATCAGACTCATATGTATACAAGACAAGCATTTAATCTCTGAAAGCATGATCTAAATCATATTTTAAAAGAATAGTAGTATTTTGCATGCTTTCCATCAGTGATATTGTTAATTACTGAACAACAGGGTTTTTTTTGGGGGGGGGTAAATTTTTGTGTAAGCTGGGAATGCTAGTCTATAACTGTAATTGCAGCACTCCAGTAGGCTGAAGCAGGAGGGTTGAAGCCCAGCCTGGGGAAATCTTGACTTAACAAGATCCTGCCTCAAGATTAAAAAAAAAAAAATTTAAGGGTCAAGGGTATAGCTCAGTGGAAAAGCCCTAGGTTCAATCTTCAGTGCTCAAAAAAAAAAATTCTGTTTATAAGCATGTTATAAATTTTATGAATATAATGATTACTTAGCAAGAAATTTATAAATAACAATAACATATATACTTTACTGTAGTTTTTCAGATACCCATTTGATTCTCAAAGTATGTTTCAAAGATTTTTGTTAAATCTGTCTGTAGCCTATCTATGGCCAGAACTGATGGATGAATTCATTCTGCTGAAATGCTGGTTGGCATCTTTACATTAACAGGCAAGATGCAGATGAAACAATGAAAGCATATGGCAGAACTCATATTGACCTGACTCTCTCACTACCGAATAGGATATTAAATTTCAAATACTTGGAGAATCTTTTCTCAATTGCATTTTTTTCAAACTTGTTATGTTTTTAAGTACTCTGCCTTCTGAGAACGCTCTCCATCACCTTCCAAAGCTCAGATAACAATCAAAACAACTGAGCCCTGATTTGTAGTGTTGGACAATTCAATGATACAAGTTCTCCAGCAATGTCTGATTAAATTCCTACCGTGATATAACTGGACGCAGAGTTGGGAAGAGATAAGTAGGCAAGCCATGCATTATTCCATACACATACAACAAATATACCATGAAAGCACAGATAAGGTTTTGTATGGGTGTCCCTCTAAATTCTCATGCACTTTTAGATGGGGATTTTTTTGGAGGTAGTTGAATTAGAGTTTGTGATTGGGCCAGTGAGATAGCTCAGTGGACTAAGTGCCTGCTTAGGCAAGCACAGGGACTGGGGTTCCAGCCCCAGCATCGCATGCCCTGGGCACACTGAGCCACTGACACCAGGCATGGTGGTGCATGCATATAGAAATATAGATATGGGACAAAAGCCTAATGTCCCAAGAGAACAGGGAGCAATAGACAGAACCCAAGGAAAGCTGCTGTCTTGCACTTGTAAATCCCAGAAAACTAGGATCCAAGGCTGCAGATAACAGCTTCTCTTGTTAGCACCCTGTTCTTTGATTACTTGCTTGGGATGTAATTGGCTAGCATTTGTGTGAGCCTAGTGTTAGGCAAATGGTGGAAGTCAATAGAGATAGTAATTTGTGTTCACTTAAGTAATTATGCACATTCCT